GCAGACAACAAAGCAGACGGGGAGGACGGGGGAGAAGAGCGGTGAACTTAACTTTATCTGACTTATTTTATTTATTGTTTTTATCGTCCTGAGAGAAAATTAATTTGAAGCTGAGTTTTTGAAATAAATCATTAGATTACTCTGAACGTCTGTAAACCTGCAAAATGAGGGAAAATCTGTGTAAATTACAGACAATCTGTCCATGTGAGCAGTTGTCAGCACCTGTCATCCTCCAGACGCACGACAGAGCACGTGTCTGAACTGGCCAATCACTTTTTTTGACATTGAACAGCTGACTGATTTAAATACACCTTAACATTCATGAGGTACTTTGCATTTTTATGGTTGAGTGTGGGCGTGTAGAGGGTAGAACTTGAGGCGGGACCTTGTGCGCAAATTATGAGGCACAGCTGTGATCTATAAAGGGAAAATGCGGTGAAACATGCGTACGCATGGTTTTATAAATCTGAATATTTTTTTGGCGTACGCCATTTCCGTCTTTTGGCCGTACGTTCATTTTAAGTATGGTTTCCACACAATCCTTTATAAATCTGGCCCCTGGTCTCCAGTTCTGCCTGCTTACCTACCACCATGCCTGTCGAATCTGCCTGTCTCCGACTAACTTGTGTAAATACTCACCTGGGAAACACTTGCTTTGTAAATAAGTCATCTGAAAAGCTCACCTGGATTCCCTGGTTCCCATCTCCTCCTCCGCTCGTCTTGGGTCTCTGCTGAACCTGTAAGAAACAAAGATCTATTACTCACTGTGTTACTCCTCAACCAGCAGTGTTCATATTAATGACTTTCCTCCTTCCCGCCTACATAGCTGCCCGCTGCTCCACTTGGGTGTTTCTCACGTGTGATGGGTCAAATGCAGAGCACAAATTTCGTCATTTTGTGGGGACATACACTGATGACCAACCTTTACCTTTTACCTTTTAATTTCTTTTACATTTTTTTACAAGTCAAAACAAGTTCTATCAAGCTTGAATTGTACAAGAACTAAAGATCATGGACACCAGAATGAATGTGAAGCAGCTAATGCGCTGAATAACTCCTGCTCTTTGTTTCCTGTCCACATACAGACCTGCAGCCAGACGGAGCTGGAAAACTATCACAAGCCATGCATTCAGCATGTGATACTGCTGTTGCCCATCTTCATCACAGAGTGGACACCATTCGGTTACTACGTGCCGAGATCAAGCAACTGGAGCAAAAAAATTGACATGGACGAGAAGATGAAGAAGATAAAACTTTATTGATCCCAAAGTGGGGAAATTTGAATATTAGAGCAGCTCAAAACAGTGGAGCTGCAGTAACAGGCTGCCTGCCGTGGCGCCATCCTGGAAACAGAGAAACCACACAAGGGAAAGGAAGATGAGGAAAAAAACAAAAATATCATATTATATCAACACTGTGACACACTATGGTGTTTATGAAAAAAAACTCTGCATAGGGCCAGAGGAGTAATTGAGATTAGGGGGCCTGAAGAATCTAGTCCCCAAAGCCAGCGCAGCCAAAGTTCAGAATATTGACGGTAAACTGTTCATTCTGTGGGCCCTCAGCTTGCTCAAGAAATCAGATCAGATGGGTGGGGGAGGGGAGTGGGGGCTTGTCGACGTGTTCCAGCCAGGAAGGATTTAGTCAACAGATCAAGGTCATTGTTGGGGAGATCCAGATTCTGTAATCAGTTGTTTTGGGAACAAAAGAGACAGGCAGACGATAACAATTTTCCATCTGCTTTAGTGTCCTGCTGGTGCATCTCAAGGGTGGCGAATCCAATCAGGAAAATGGTGTGGACAAATTTCGCCAAGCCGATCCATCAACTTTCTCCAAGATGAATTCCATCTGGCCAACAAAGTCCAGGGACCACAGCTGGCCCGCGACCCTCAGTAGAACCGCTTGCAGACCGGGTCCAGTTCACTCAAGGCAAAATGTCAGAGTGCTGATAGAATACGGCCGTCCATCCAGTTGGTCAGTCAGCCAGAAAGTGAAAAGCCACCGACACCGTTTTGTAGAACACCAGGAGACCACCAAGCCTGTAGAATCCAGTGATTCTGAGTCCAGATATATATCCAGAACAGAGAATAACAGAGGTCCGCACCTTCGACATGTCCTCGCATGGAAGAAGAAAAATAAACTTTGTTCCAAAAATTTTTATTGAGAGTATAACCAAATCTAAAAAAATAAAAATATCCATAATTTCTGGTTTCAGATGAAAAATGTAGAGAAGGCTCCAAGCAGCAAAGCAGGGAAAGATAAGGAAGGGCAGGAGAGAAGGAAAAAAGCGTCTTACTCCTCTGAGAGTGGAAAGAAAAAAAGAAGATGGGAGAGATGCAACTGTCAGCTGTTACTGACGACAAGAAAAGGAAGACAATTCTGGATCAAGTAAGTTTTATGACTCATCCCTATTCATTTGTCAGAGTTGAGTTCCAACATCACACAGCTGTGTCAGATTTATAAAGACTGTTAGTAGAATAGTTTGCAAAAGTCTAGAGAGCAGTTGTGAATGTATCAGCAGATCTCTAGATTATAGTAGGGCATGTGCAGATCACTGTAAATAAACTCCACTTGACTTTTTAAGAGATCCTCAGACCCTGGGTGGCTGTGGCGGAGTGGTTAGGGGAGTCGTCCTGGAACCGGAAGGTCGCCAGTTCGATCCCCCGTTCAGCCATCTCAGTCGTGTCCTTGGGCAAGACACTTCACCTGCCCTGTCTACTGATGATGATCAGAGGCAGCCCCACCTCTGTCAGTGTGCCCCAGGGCAGCTGTGGCTACAACATAGTTTGCCATTATCAGTGTGTGAATGGGTGAATGTATGTAAAACGCTTTGGGGTCCGGAGGTACTTGACAAAGCGCTCTATAAGTTCAGTCCATTTACCATTTACCATCCTCAGTGTCTGTTTCCTTCCGCTTGCTCTGTTTTTGACATCACTTACCTGTTTATGATAAAAATGCACTGAAACAAAATAAACTAGTAGTTCTAAAATACTAATATTTCTGGAAGTTGTATATTTACCTTTAGTATTACAACGAAATGAATTTTATCACTTTAGACCAGATAAGTTTAGATTTTTTTTCTTGTTACTTCTATTTCATTCAAGCTTCTTTTTGTTGAAAATAAAGACCTATGGCACCTCAAAGAGTAAATTTGATTGTGGTTAAATGAGAAGTGTAAATATAAACTATTCAGGGGAGGTGTAATAAGAAGTCTAAATAATATTCTTTTTCACATGGTTTTAGTTGCTTCGAGGGAGGTACCACTAATACCAGCAATGGCAAAAATGTGCAAAATTCTTTGATCGGATTGAATTGTATTCGGATTAAATAATGGGGATGTATAGTTTACATGCACACAATCTGATCATGAGTGTTTACATACACCGGGCTTTTATTCTGAATACAAGCATTGCATCTATTAGGAATAAAGACTTCTGAGTTCTGGTGCATTTGTGCGTGCGGGGGTCATTATGTTACCGCTATGCAGTATCAAGTCAGAATATAACTAGATACTGCATAGCGGTAACATTATGACCCCCGCATGCAGTATCTAGTCAGAATATAACTAGATACTGCGTGCAGGGGTCATTATGTTACCACTATGCAGTATCTAGTTATATTCTGACTTGTATAAATAACATTAGATTTATCATTATGTTGTAGGGAGACTCCAGTTCAAGATATCTTAAATGTATCTTTAGATATGAGATAGGCTATAAAATATTCAATTAATGCAAATTGCAGACCTTCATGTTCTGTAAATTGTTTTTAAAACAAAGCTGCTGCTGATGATCATTCTGTTTTTATAAGCAGCCCTCCCAAGACCAATACTCTAGGGGAAACACTGAAACCCATTACAATTCACTTCATAATCCCATATTAATCATATGAAACAATGCATTTCTGTCAGTTACAGGAGTGGAGGGTCTTCTAAAACTCCAGACCGAGAAAATCTATTTGGAGGTCAAAGGTGGAAAATTTGCTTATTTTTTCCATAGAAATTGCCCTAAATGGAATAAATTGTTGATTTGTTTTATAGTAAAACCAATTAAATCCTTAAACATTTTAGTCATTAAGTAATCATTGAGTCATTGCAGCTGCAGCTGAATTACATCAAATAGATATGAAAATTCCTTGATTATAAACTGTTAGTCAATAAAAATCCCAATATTTATTTATTTATGTAATTAATTAAATAATCAAGAGTAAAACTCAGAACTTTGACTGACTTAAGATGATGGTATGATAAATCATTTATTCATTTGAAATCTTCCAGCACTAAACAGAAATATGATTATTTATAAATGTTTCTGTTTGGGATCTCAGGACCAGAATCTGACGGTTCAAACATCCTAATTAGTTTCCCAGCATGCTCTCTGGGTTGGACCAATAGCCAGAAACAAGTGAATTCCAGCTCTGATGTTAATATGAGTGTGCATGTTTTCACAGTCAGGTCACTATTCTGACAGCTGAACTCTTCCTATATGAGGCCCCGGGTCAGGTTCACCCCCAGAACCACATATACCCTTCAAGACTCTTGTCTGATGGAACATCAAAGGACTGAGCTGATCCATAGAGGCCACACCCACAGAGCCTAATGTATTTTGGTTCTGGTCACTGAATTCAAATGATTTTAGTTTCCAGGGGTCGGATTTATAAAACTTGCGTACGCACAATTTGAGCCCAGAAACTTGCGTACGCCACTTTTTACGCCAAGGTTGTGATTTATAAAATCCAAACTTGACGTGAAAATGTGCGGTGCCTCACGCCAGCTCTGACCCATGCGTACGCTCATTTTGGAGACGGGAAACTGCGACACAGATGGCGAAGTGAGGAATTATAGTCACACTGTGTAATCACTGTCAGATACTTAATTTACCTTCAGAATCAGACTTAAATAAAAGTTCCCGTGCGCAACTCCATTCCTCAGACGACCCTGACCCACACAGACCCCTCCCCGATAAGAACAGCAGGACAGCAAAGGCTTTGGATACACGCGCAGGGCGCGCCCACCTCGCCAGTGTGAATGTTAAACCTTCACGTTTAAAGTTCGTGTTTGTCACGCGCGCAGGGGCATGCATGCGTGCATGCGTGCGTGCGTGCGTGCGTGCGTGCGTTTGTGTGTGTGTGTGCGGGGCGGGGTGTCTGCCGCGGATAACAGAGCAGGCAGGAGGGGGAGAGGATGAGGAGAAGAGTAGTGGAC